CCGTTTGCGGCCGTCACACCACGACAAGAAGGCCCCACGGGTCCTCGGTGGGGGAGGAGGTGTCAGAGTGTGTTGGATGCTGCCCTGTATTGGAATGTTGCCAAGGTTGAGAAACACTGTATTAGAGACTGCCATCTGGTGGGACCCAGGAAGAGAGCCTTCTCTGTTATGGTGTTTACTCTTTGGAACATCACAGGTTGACCCTGCTGGTCTTTCCTAGGGCCTTGAAGACATGGCTATATCTCCAGGCATGGGGGTCAGACTGTATGGCCGAGCCTGTGAAACGGTTATGCTGATGTTGATCTGATTTTTAAAATTTTATCTCGGCTGCTGATTATGCATTTATTATGTTGTTGTTTATGGTGTTTTTAACTGTGGTTAGACACCCAGAGTCACGCTCTCAAGATGGGAGGTCATATGCATTGAAATAAATAAATAATAAACTAAGAGATCACCTTTCCCTAATCAGATCTGCCCACTCAGTCTAGACCAGTGATGGCGAACCTATGACACGCATGTCAAAGGTGACATGCCACGATGTTTTGGGTGACACACCAGTGTTCACCAACACCCAACAACAATTATTCTCCCTGTTTGAGTTACCAAAGAAACTGAGTTTGTTTTACTCGTATTTCATTTTTGTAATTAGTTGATGCTTCTTTATGTAATACATAGCACTACATAGGATTGGACTGTATTTTTTTTAAATAAATATGTAAATAATGGTTTCTCTTTTGTTCGGGAGGGATGACATACCAGCGGAGTCAAGTTCGGCATTTTCCGAATTTTTGACATGCTGAGCCCAAAAGGTTTGCCATCACTGATCTAGACAGAACCCCTGCCCAGGGTTCCCACCTACTAAGAGGGGTGATAGGAGGGGCCCAAAGGTAGGCACTCTTTGCGGGGTCTCCCTTCCTATGGAACAGTTTATCCTCCAAGATAAGGATGACGCCCATTCCTATGGCTTTCCAGAAAGCTATGGAGATCTGGCTTTTCCGAAGGGCCTTTTGGGACTGATTCTGGAGCCATCAATATAGGTTTTCACTTTTATTAGTTATATATGATTTTCATTTTATATTACTGTATTCTTCTTATTACCGGTTTTTTATCTAGACTTTGTAACTTGTCAGTTGGATTGAGGCAGTGTATACATTTCGTACTAACTAAAGTTCATCCTGTTAACAAAATGGAATTGCTATATTCATGTAGCATACCATGCCCAAGCAAATAAACCATATTACATTTGAAGCTGATGGGCTTTTTCACCCAACCTGCTGAACCACAGTCTAGCCAACCTCATTTTAGCCCAGTCTACTGCGTTGCAGAAATGCATGCAGAGTCTCATTCATTTCTCCATGCGATAGAAAAGCACTCCATAACATTTCCCCTTGTTAAAGAACCATACAATGAATGAACAAGACACCTTATTAACCTTCATGGATCAGGGAGGGAACATCTCCTGGAACAGTTCATCCTAATTTTTCACATTAAGGAAAATACATGCTTCACAAACTAACAGGATCTGCCCCTCACCTTCACTGAAAAATAGGTCTTGTGCTACACGTGGATATAACAGCATACCAAATAAACTTATTAAATCCCAGTGCCATCTTTCCATTGGCAAGCTGGTCAAAAGCTTAGCATTATGGGGGGGAAAGCCACCATCACCCTTAAAATGCAGGAGGAGAAGCTGGGGAGGAGATTCCTGAGCTCATATGAGGTTTCAGACCCAAGCAGGATGTTGGCTTAATCTCTCTGTTCCTCCAACCCCATACCCAAGGACATTCTAAACTGGATTTAGTTCCCAGGTTCTCCTAATGCGAGGCTCTGCAATACCTACAAAATAGCAAAACTTTTGAAACAACCTTTAGAAACATTCAATCATGCCTGTTCTGGTGACGTCACAGTGTGTCTGCCACATCATTTGTGGCCTTCAGAGATGGATTTTTTAAAAATGCACCTCCCCCCCCACCCCCGCGCATTGTTGTCTGCTCTGGCTTACGGGGTTCATAGAAGTCATAGATGGTAGCACTGGCTGGTTGCAGTTTTCCTACAGATACCCGCTGTTTGGCTCTGAAAGCGATACACTCACGTCCCGATTTTGGCACCTGGAAACACAGAGAAATATTTAAACTTAAAATGTTATACTCTGCCTTTCTTTTGCAATCTAGGATGCAATTGCTCGTCTAGGAGGAGAATCAGGGGCAAACTGGATTCAGGGGCAAATTGGATGATCAGTGTAACATGCAGTTCAACTCCCCCCAACTTGCTGACTTCCAGACCTGTTGGATAGAACTCCAGTTGTTCCCAGACACCATAACCAAGAACTGCACTGGCTGAGGAGGATGGGAAGTTGAGTTCAACTCAGGCTCTTTTACAAACAAGGGTTAAGGACAGTGAACCAAGATGAGCCTCAGAAAGAGTTGTAACAAGAATGGTCAGAATTAAGCCTTTGGAAAGTACCAGCTTGTCTAAAAAGGCAGATATTGGTGGCTTATATTTTAGCTTCCCTTCCCACACAGACATGGAGAAGTACATCTGATTCCAATAAAAGAGAATATCTGTAGCTCAGGGTTGAACTGTGGAACTGTTGGTGCTCTCTGAGCTTGGTTGTTTGCTTGCAGACGTTTCATTACCCAACTGATGATGTTATCTAGGTCTCCAAAGGTCTCCAAAATACAATTGAACATTTCAATAAAACTGCCCTTTCTCCAACAGTCCCCCTGAATGTTTTGTTTTGTAGAAATTCCTCTCACCTGCTCAAAATAAAGGAGCAACCGTCGTCCTTGAATCTCCCAGTAGTTGATATATTGTTCAGGGACTTCTTGCAGCTGCAGAGAAGGGAGAGATGGAAAAGCCATAAGAAACTGAACAAGCGAGCAGATTTCCCAAACTGTAGAGAATAAGGAAGATGGCCTTGATGGAGATATGCAGGAACCGTTACCTAGGCAAAAGGGGCTGAAGCATATTTTAAGTCCAGAGCAACGGGATAAGATTCAGAAGTGACTCAAGCAGATGTCTCCTTAACTCACCGAAGTATGAGGAGGTACAGCACAATCAGACTTGCAAGATTTGGTTATTATAGCCAGTCTCAATAAAAGTAATTTTAGCCTTCCTGTGGAGTTGATTTCGTGGTCTGGCCTACCTAGTGGGACGGATGGAAATCCAAGGCAATTCTCCAAGCCTTTATGCTATTGCCCTAATATGCCTCACAGTGTGACTGCAAACCCAAACTGATAGTCTAATCTAGACTTCCCAAATTGGTGCCCCCCAGTTGTGTTGGGTCTACAGCTTCCATAATTTCCAGGCAGCGTGGCCAAAGGAACGCTGGTGGCTCCAGTCCCAAACCTTACATCAGAAGGGCCCCAGCTGGGGCATGCATGACTAAGCTGATAAATCGTGGATTAAGGAAACCAAGGAAGTGAAGGAAAAAGGCTACTTCCAGAGTGGAGAACTGGTGGACCTGCAGATACTGCTGAACTACAACTTGCAGAAGCCTAGACTAGCATGGCTGAGAGTAAAGGATGTTGGGAGTCGTAGTTCAACAAGATCTGCAGATGTATGGGCCTTCGTGCCACATCTAAGAGGAAAACAATATGCTAAGGGCTATACAGGTGATCATGTTCAGCCTTCACTTCACCTTTGTCCTAACATGCCTTGAGAGGAGGTGATTTTCACTGGAGAAAGGACTGGCAGGAAGAAAAAGCTTAGCTCTTCTGCTCACACTTTTCTTTCCATGAATAAGATTTAGTCATATGACTTCCCGCTCGGCCAGAAAGATATTTGGGATCCCCCACCTCTCCCTTCAGGCTTGAAGGTGGGGACAGGAGCCCATGAATTTAAGTATGCCCAGAAGATGCATTGACCTGGAGCTCCTGTGAAGTGCAGAAGGAAAGCAAACAGACGTGGCTCTGTACTCCCTTTCTACTTGGAGACAGGGACCAGGGACACAGACATGTCAGCTTGCTTCTGTGTCTGTTTGATGCTCTAAGTCCAGAGAAAGCCTGTGTATTTCTGCCCAGTGCCTGAAAACGTTTTGAGCTTGGTACCCATCAATTGCAGAGACAGGCTAAGCTTTTGCCTCCCTATTTCCAATTCTGAAGAGTTGGAGGAGTAGAGGGACTGTTCTACCCTCCCATGCCCAACTTCAGGCTGGAGAGAAAAGCAGATTTTCTTCTGACCTTCAGTTTAGAGGATTGTGCTACGGGGAGGTTGGTCTTGGGAGTAACAAATATTTGCATGCCCAATAAGCCTGCCCTGATGTGCTGATCCTGCCTCTCAAATCCTTCTCCCACCCTCAAAGCAGCTGCTTTTCCCTTGCAGGACTCATGCCATAAATTACAGGTAGTCCTCAAGTTACGACTATTCATTCAGTGACCATTCAAAGTTACGATGACACTGAATGAAGGGACTTATGACTGGTCCTTGAAGTTCCGGCTGTTGCAGCACCCCCGCAGTCACATGAACAAAATTTGAGCACTTGTCAACCAGCTCGTACTTACAACTGGTTCCTCCTTATGCCAACAGCAAGGGGACAGGCAAAAATGTAATGGTAGTTTAATTTTCTGCCAGATCAAAGGTGGATAGAGAGCACTAAGACATGGGGGAGTCCTGTATTCTGAGTGTTTCAGCCTGCAATCTCTGTTTCACCCATCTAAGATAAATGGGGAGGAGTTGGGGGCACCCAGATCCAAGGATTTCATGCCACTGAGGTAGGTGTGAACCACCACTTTTCCTATATTAAAGAAAAATACAATACTTTGCCAAGAGCTACCTGAGAAAGGTCCACCTCATCAGGCTGAAAGCCACTCAACAAGCTGATATCAATAATGACCATGCCAGAAACACGAGCCCCCGGCTGTCTCCTGTGAGGAAAGACAAAAGAAAAAAGAAGGTTGGGAGATCGGAGAAGTTGTTTTCTGCCTTTAGTCTGATCAGTGTGGTTTAATAGATACATCAGACAATGATGTTAGATGAGCTGGACCATACAGGGCACCATAATCTGCCCCCACCCCAGGCAGGGTTAGCTACTGTAGAGGGAAGAGGGAATGGCCTTGAAGGACAGGAGGAAGAGCCACTACCATGGCACAGACAGATAAGAGGGGCCTGAGGCCAGACCAAGAAAGTAAGCCCCTCTTATCGGTCTCAGACAAGCCCCTCTCTAGTTCACACACAGATAAAGGGAGGGAGGGGGAAGCAAATTCAGGCTTGCGAGATTCTGTTACTGTAGCTGTTACAATAAAAATAGTCTTGACCTATGGTCGGCCCTTAGAGGTAGCCCAGACAAGAAGCACTAACTATGAGTACTAACACTACCTTTCTTGTAAGGTTAAAGTAACAGAATCTTGCAAGTCTGAAAGTACATCTCTCCCTCTTTGCCTTTACAATCTAGGAAACTAGGGAGGGTCCCTTCTGAGATGTTTGCCGTGCCCCATTGCGGGCTAAGCTGCCTCTTATCTGACCATTGCCTAGTCTACGCTTCCCCTTCCTCCACTTCCTGTCTCTCAAGGACATTCTCACAGACCATTATACCTATAAGACATTTCTTAGTCTTGTCTACCTTGCAGGGCTGACAGATACCAGCAAAAGGAACCCACAAACTTACTCTAACTTACATCATGCTTGAGCATAATTAACTAATTGGGGTTGATGGAACTGGTGCTTAACTTCAAAGATAGCCCATCACTGCACTAAGAGTGCTGGACTTTGACTGGGGAGACCAATGTTGAAATCCTGCTCATCCTCCAAGTTTTGACCACTTTCTGGCTGTGTTTGCTTGATGTGCCTGCCCTAGATAAACTAACTGTCTCTGTTAACCACATTTTTGGGGATTTGCAAGTTGAGCCATAAATCAACCATGTACAGGGCTGAGACACAAGGCTAAAATAGAATTAGCTAGTTTGTGGTTTGGTGTGTTATATAAACACTGCTTCTCTCAGCCCAGCCTACCTAACAGTGTTGTTGTAAGGGTAAAATAAGGAGGATGCACTTTTTGGGGAAGCTGGTCAGAGCAGGATAACAGCAAGTAGATTTTTTCCATCCTCATAAAACTATATTTTAACACCAGACCTTTAATAAGACAGTATTGAAAGTCCCGTATGTTAGATGTCCCAAAATGGCAATATTTGACTCCTTGAAATGGCCTAACAATTCCTTTCTCCCTCAGTTTTATTTTACTGTACTTAAGAATCCAGGATACATATTAAACACTACCAACGTGTATTATTTGAAATTAACAAAATTTAAAAAAAAAACTACAGTCACATTTAAAAGGAGAAAAAGGTTAAAAACAAAACTTGTATATTTCTAGAAAATATAAGTGCCTGCTGAAATGTTGCTGGTCTGCCATTGGCATGTTGTATGAAAAAGTTCTAAGAACACTTAACCCATTATCCACTGTTGCCAACCTGCCCAAAGAATCCATTGGTCCTCTAAGAACTCTAACAACATTGTTCCCCAATTTACCAGAAGCAGACATTGTAGGTGACCTCCTGTTTTAACTGTTCGGGGTCTTTGGTCTCCCTCCTGCGACGCTGTTGGACATCAAATAATTCAATCCGTGATAGTGGTTGGTTAGCAGGATGTGATGTGGGCTGAACATTGTCTTCATATTCATAATAGTACTCTTCCAGTTCAGCTGTTGTAAGAAAAGAGTTGCAAATGTCAACATGGATTTTTCACAAAGCATGGGCCATTGATATTGTGAGGTGTGGAACACATCTCTCTCCCATGGGGTACACCAAATGTGGATGTGCTTCATTAACTATCAGGATCCAGTTCTTAATTTCAGAAGATAGATTCTCGTTCATGATTCCTTTCTTTTCAAGGGCAACAGAGATCCAGACTCTGTGTATACAGTGGTCTAGTGCAGGATTCTTCAACCTCAGCAACTTTAAGATGGGTGGACTTCAATTCATGCTGGCTGGGGAATTCCAGGAGGTGAAGGCCACACCACTTAAAGTTGGTGAGGGTGAGGAAAACACGTCTAGTGCAGTGTTTATCCACTCTGGCAACTTTAAGATGGGTGGA